GTAACGACTTAACGAATTTGCGGTCTCTTTCAAAGGCAGCGACGACGGCAATGGTAGATATCAATTTTATCGGTCCACTGAAAGAAGTACTTGCGGTTCATCGATCTTCTTATGAAGACTAGCAAGAAACCAAAAGAACGCCAAGAAGAGACGATTTTTCAATGCATCGAAACCGGAGGCGAGTACTTTCACCACAGTTCCCTACAGCCTGTTCTTCGACATAAAGAGCACTTTTTGTCGACTGGGGGAATCATGTGATGCCTGTTCTACCCTTTCGCACCAGATATTGTTAGACGGTTAAAAGAGAGGGGCGTCTTTCTTTCTCAGGAACGAACGTAGAAGGGAAGGGTGCGAAATCAATTTCTCGCTTCGAGCACTTTTTCCCTTAGTTTGAATTTTTTTCGAGTGGAAACGTTGACGCAGACGTACAGCTAAAGAAGTACGGTCAAAGTGCGAGCGGGATGATTGAAAACTCCATGACATCTCTAGAAAAATGAAAAATCTCGAGCTCCCACAAGGAATCCACAAAAGCGTCGTCATTCTCAACGTCTGAAATCGAAAACACCTCTTGCTCTTCGGTACTTTGTTTTCATTAGAATCATAGGTCTACTTGGTGGGAGATAGCTTTTGAACGGCCTCGAATGCGCTATACAATGGTGTTCAGTCGCTGCTCAGCTCGATATAACGCTTCCATGCATGAAATTTACACTTTGAAAAAAAAACCTGTTTGAAACCGACTAAGACCTGCCCTTATCTTCTCAACTGATCCCCCTTTGATTATTCCCACTTTTCTGATACCGGTTACTTTTCATTAAAGTCGAACGAATTTCTCCCAGTCGGTATCCGTCGAAGACGTCCCCAAATCTAAAATATGCATGCTATACATACAGGGGTGGCCAAAAAAAAAGAGACACTTCACTCCACATTCAGAACGGAATTATTTACGCGTTGCGAAACCAGACTAAATGACCCCAACTAAATATTAAAAAGCACGTTATAGTCTATCAAAAAGCCACACAACAGCCTTCTACACCGAAGACATCAGAAGATTTTCCCACGGAAGCATTGTGCACGGTACGAGCTCAACGAGGTCGTCGAGATACCATAGACGATTAAGACGTCTTTGAAACTCTGGTCAGAAGCGGTTTTGCCTAGTCAGTTAATGTCTCTGGGAAGCTATTCAACAGCCGATCCATTGAGAAAATAATGTAGCAGCTTCAGGTCGGAGCGATTACGGTAAGCCTCTGTTTGAGTCGAATGGTGGAGGCAGTGACGTTCATATTTGGAGACGGGCGGAGGGTGAAAGTAGTGTCTGCGCTTTCATCGGCGGGAAACACCGTAAGGATATTCTGCCGTAAGTCTATGATTAGGCATCGGCTCCTGTGCGACGAAAAGTTTCTCGATGCATGTGCGCCGTGGGCAATCGCTAAGGAAACTCCGCTCTCTTTTTTGGCACCGCTGTAGTATTACTTGGATCTATTGCGTGGGAGGAATTATGTAGTATTAACTGCAGGCTTTAAGTAATTAGCGATCAAGAAAGGTTATTAGTAAAATATATGATAGTTACTAGGATCGAAGTTGTTCGTGTTCTTATGGAGCTCCCGCTAAGATGTTGAAGGCTGAGCTGGGAGTGAAATGGTGGCCCCGGTTAGCGAAACTGGTTGACCCAGCACTTGCCGGAATGCGAGAGGTGCGTGTTCTGGTCCCGCCTGGGGCGGAATTTTGCTCATCAAACCAGCAGTACTTGTGAAACTAGATCTCGATGTTTCGAATATTTATTCCTTACCGATTTAGTTTTAGGTTTGTTTCCGTGTTCTGCAGCGTTAGCAGCGCTTATTCGAGGAGACGTGGAACTCTTTGTAAGGTTAATCGCGAAATGGGCAGCAGAGAGCTATAGCATCAAATCTATTCTTATTGGTTAGATATCCAAAAAATACTTTGAATTTTCGGAATGGATAATGGCAGACGAATGGACCTCGTCTTCTTTGGAATTGTCACTGTGGTCAGAGCTCTCACTTAAGGTTCGGTTAAACAGTGAAGCATGTGGCACAGTCGGCGGGGTGCGCGTGCAGGTTGGAGACAATAAACGCTACATTTGCTAATCATTTGTGTTGACGATATAGAGGTGTGTTGTTGGGGTTGGGGGGGGGGGTGATTATCTACTGATTAGATCAGGGAGCAAGGCATCAATTGGTTCCCAACTTTAGTAAAGTGTTTGACTTTTCGATCACGATTTTATTCACATAAAACAATTTTGCGGAGGAAGCGACAATCAAAATCGCAGCGACAGCAAACGGAAGCATGAACGGAATTACTTCCCATGATTTTTTACAGACGGTATTTTTCAGGGTCGATTTCGGTTGAAAAAGCTTGTAGGATCTGTCGGAGCCCGCAGGATGAAATGTGCGCTTGACATTTTGCGAAATGGATGGTGCAAGAGAAGAGGAAGTATATCAACTTTGTGGAAACTGCTGATATCTGAGCTCAGGACGGCTGTTGACGGTCGGATGGGTGAGATTTGAGTTTTAGCACTTCTTTATTCGTCGGGGGTCAGGCGACGTTTTATAGGGCATGCGGAGGGGATTCGAAATAGCTCTGCGAAAGCGCTGGAAGACGAAAGAGCTCATCGCGGGACCCGTGTCAGGCTTATCGGCGCGATCATCGACGAGTATCGCAACCGAAGGGAAGACCGTGCGCCGAATGAACAATCAACAGGAAGATCTACGACAAACACAACACAGGGTTGTTTCTCCATTGTCAAAGCCAGGGTGGTTGTGACGCTTCTAAAACTTGCTTCCGAGGTTGCTTTCGAAAACTGCACTTCGGGCTAGAAGGTGGGCTAGTCACATTTCTGAGCAGGACGATAAGGAAAGAATGATAAAGTATTCAATTCCTTTCAATCTCCGTTTGGGAGTGCGCTGTGATTCTATTTCATGTTCAGAACTCGCAGTGGGGGCGTTTGGGCCTATGAATGATTGCGAGAGCCACCTCATGCAGGAGTCAGTGCTTTTATCCTCACAGAGAGTCTAATCCAATAAGCGTCTTATGGACGAAGAAGGCTGTTTTAGCGCCGGGTGACGCATCAAACCAGGATTAGATCCCAACCCTCGCCGTAAATGGATTAGTAGAGTCTTGGTCACTAGCACCACGTGTTTCGCAGTGAATTATTGTGGATAGTTAATTGAGTATGCTGCGTCGATTCTGAAGTCACGTAGCGGTGTTTATTGAATGCGATTTTGTCACGGGAACTTGTGCTCAGCGGTGAACAGGCTCTGCGTCGGAAACCGTAGTTAAGTGGAGGCTGGCGAAAAAAGCCGAGAGCAATAGGATGATCCGTAACCCGTTTCGGGTCAACTCTATCAAACGTTAATCGGCGGGGGTGGTGTTGGGAGAAGGGCGGGCACAGGTATACTGGAGCATTCAAAAGGTGCATTTTCGAGAATGGTGGTCATGAGCCCGAAACCTCTAGAGATTTCTAACGGCTATTTGCAGATTTCTTCGGCAAAAAAAAAAAGTTTTTTTCTTATACCGCGGTCGATTTCATGTACAGTACACGGCTCATCGCACTATGATTCCACTTTGTCTCACTGGAGGTATTTTGTGAGAAAGCGAAGAACTTAGGCGAGACTGATATGATTGAAAAGAAATTAAAAAAGGGGCCAGACAAGGATTAGGGGATGAATTATGGGAGCTTTTGTTACATGGATATTAAGTGGCGAAGGGGCGATGACCTTAAGTTCAGTTTTTTATTCCAGATTTAGATAACAATACTCCTTCGTGGAAACACGACTAGGACCAACTCGAAAACCAACACCCAGCTTTGAGGAACGGACAAGCTGTCCCAGGACCCATAGACATTTTTCGTGCCCCCAGCGTGTTGAATATAAGGAATGAGACGCGTCGAAGACGTCTCGGACGTATAGAATACTCGCAAGTCTGTACACATGGCGTTCAATTCGCAAGGAGCGTCTTTTCTTTTTCGTACCAGTTCGGGAGGGTATAACTGGGATTTGGCTCGCACTGATAGAGTAATATTGGCTCATACCAGGGTCCTGTAACAGTTATGAGAACGGACTACGGGATGTCCGTGCTTCCCAATTAGGACACTCCGATTGGTGATAGTAGCCAGCTTACGTAGGCCAATTCGAAATGAGATCACATCATCACTTGCAGACCTCGCGGTGATCGTCCGACATAAAGCGATTTCAAGGATTCGTAACGCGGGTCAAGTAGATTAGTTAAGACAACAGACTCGTCAATTTCATTAAGATGCGAACTAAACCTACTTTTTGAAGTTAGATTCTACCACGTGATGCGGATTCGGTGTTTAGTCGACGACTTTTTCCACGCTCACAATGAACAATTGTTCAAGCCCTATTAGACATGTTAGGCCCCAGCCACTCGACCCCAAACATATGGACTGTTGAATCGGCCTTGGTAGAATGGGATCTGAATTCCGATTACCAGACCCATGCATGGGCAAACGCCACTTGCCTGTTTATTACCTACGCACCCTTCATGTTTGAATACTTTCAGGATTCCATCAGTTCAGGAATTACAATGACCTAAAATTTCTATTGCGGTGCGTTGTTTAACTGTAGCGTTTTCAGGAGAAGCAACGATGGCTGGAGCTGAGCATGTTTGGCCGTAAGAAGGAAGAAAAGAAGGAATCAGCAACTGACGACTACTTACGAAAAGCAAAAACGATGCCAAAGCCCGCTCATTCCGAACGGAACAATACCTTGAAGATTACTGTACCTGGGGTTGATCTGCAACCGAAATTAACTCCTGCACCTCCACCTCCACCGAGTAACGCTCCACCAACTCTGAATTACGAATATAGTCCTGGCCTGTACGATACCCCCATTGGTTCACCACCCATGCGATTTCATCCACCTGCACCACCGCCGTATCCTCCTCCGACTCTCGTTCCACCTACCATTTGGCCTCAAGTGTCAAAAAATTCACTGTTGTTAAAGGAGGAGCAATTTGATGAGGTCTCATTCACGCCTCCTCATGCGGCGAAACTGACATCAGCCGAGAAGTCAAGCTCGAAGGATGTGACCAGTTCAAGTCAACTACAAACACCATCAGTTTTTGAGGTTTCGGAGTTCCTCCAGCAGCTCGATCCACTGGCACGACGTGAGGCGGTTAATGGTACGAGTGATAAGCCAATTCCAGAAGCATACATCTACTGCTCCAAATCAGATATCCCCAGGGACCATGTATAAACCAATCGCTCCACCAAGACCGAGCGCACCAAGTGCTAAAACTCCCACAATAACAAAGAAGAACAGGACCAGCACCTGTTCCGTTCCCGACGCTAACGGAGTGATGCTGCAGAGCACACCTACAACAATGGTGAGCTGTACTTCCACTTGTGATTGATGTTGAATTTCAAATTTCGCTAGAAAAGTGTTTTCCTGAAGTCTCACGCGAGGGACCCACGCTGTGTAATTACAAAAAGTTCGCGGAAACACTTGAAACAAAGGCTCGCCAAGGTCGAGTTCCAAGGTGACAACCTCCACCGCAAATACCTCAACTGACCAAAGGGAAGATGGCACTGATGGGGCATAATTTTTAGGACGGCTTGGCTCCGAGTTGGCGAGAATTTGCTCTATTCGGGGTAGCGCGTTCATTATTTATTTATTGAGTCTGCACTTTTGGTGCGCCCAACCGTGCTTATGTTATTTTTCTCAGCTGTTTCCGCTTAAACTCATGGAGCTGCAAGCCAAATTGAGGACCTCTTCAGCGTACACAGGCAGGGTCAACCATCACAACCCGACCACAAATTTGGCCCATGTACCAAATAGGGGACTAGGGGATCGATTTGCGATGGTGGGAAGAGGTGGGGTCGTATTTGTAAAAGTTGAGGGGGTCGTGCTTGCGGAAGGTGGGAGTCATTTTTCAAAAAAATATTACATTGAATATGGTAAATTTTAGACGAGGTCTGGCCGTTACTAGACAATGAATTGCCACCGACGGGTCGCTTGGAATAGAAAAGGGCTGGGTTGTTGAAAGGCGCGAGTAGTCTGGTCTTCAGAATGGAATATACAGAAGAAGTAAGGTGGGTGTAGGTGATGGTCGGGAAGGGCGAAGAAGTGGCCCCCAGGGCGCTGATGGTGGCGTGGGCGGGGCGGAGGTGGGCGTAGCAAACAGCCTTTTGGCACATCGGTATGGACGTATGCTGAATGTTGGGGCGAGGGATGGGGGTCGCCCAACGGTCGACGCGTTTACTTCAAGCTCGGTTTGATACGAGGAGGAGAGTCAGTACTGACGCAAGTGTGCTGCACTTGTCCTGTTAGCTTTGCCGAAGGTACCGCGCGATCTTGCTCACCCTTGGAACTAAGCCTTAGGGAGCGACGGACCAGTCCTCTCATTTAAGGCTTAGTTCTAAGGTAAAGCGCGAAATTGTGGCGTGTTCTAAGGACCCCGTTGAAGTTGTCCGTCACCATCAGGGGACACGCATCCCTCCCAACATTCAGCGATACCTGGGTCCAGCGATGCTCCAAAAGAGGCTGGGTTTGCTTACGTCAGAGGGGTGAGCATCATAGCATCCAGGACTTGGCTTAGGGAAGGTCGCAAAATTTTTTGGAAAAAGATACAGAAATACCAGTCTAGGGATCTTACAACACGCCTCGCTGTACGATAGGCTGTGTTTTCTAACGTGCTTATTACTTTTAGCAGTCACATACCAGGATAGAAAAGTCTTTGCCGAGCTATGGGGGAGCCTTCAGGATCAAATTCAACGAGTAGACTATGAGGTGAGCCTCGTCTTCTTTTTCTTTTGTATAGATCTCAAAATAACAACGAATTGAACACCGCCGGACGCAAATACGAAAGGTTATGTAACTCTATGACGACTTTTCTAAACAAAGCATCTGAAATGTATGAAAATTTAGTGCAATGACCCATGGATCGGAGTGGAATCTCGACTAAGAGACATTCGATCAAATCGACACCAACTCCATCAAAGGGCCTGGAACTCAAAGGTTCGCATCGTCGGTTTTTGGTGATTTGCTAGCATGAACATAAGGTAACAAAGCATTCCTAACCGTAATATCTCAGACGCTATTCGATTAGTTCTAGCAACACTATGAATGTGCTGCGGCGAAACAATTGCTAATGCCTGAATATCACAGCTGAGAATAGCATCAACTCGTTACTTCATAGAGCGAAACAACTAAGTTTGCTTACTCAAAGAACCTTGCTTATTTATATCAATTTGTCTATTTGATAGAGGAAGTTAGAATTTTTTTAAGTTAGCAGAGCAATTTGAGGGACAGCTTAAGACTAGAAGTAATTGGCGACGTCAAAAAGTAGGTCAAAGAAAAGAAAAAATGAAGAAAAGTTTGGAAGGACGTTCGTGGTTCACTGGAGGGAAGGAAGAGACAGTACCGGCCGGCATCCTTGATGTTTTCACCATAAGTGAATGGGATTATGAACAGTCGAAGTTCAACTAAACGTTTCCTACTTTCTATGACCGAAATTCTTCATTTTGGATCATCGTCAGGAATGCTTCGATGGGAGAAGAGGTCGTCGATAGATTTATTGGAAAGACAAATCAGTCAGGAATTTAGAGATTTTTTGAAAATAAGGCGTATGAGACATTCTTATTCAGAACTTTTTGAAAAGTTTGGAAATCTAATTACTTAGGAAATAGGCTGAAAGTGTTTTCCTTTATAATTTGTCTGCAGTAGCTCTCGGTTGAAGAGACGAATGGCAAAGAGAGGAATTAACGACAATTGCTACTGATACCATGATTTCTCAGTCAGGTGACGCGGTTACGTCTCGGTGCTAAGCTAAATGAACCCCTGTACTAGACCCTGGGGTCTGCAAACATCCTATTCGTTATTTAAAGCTTGAAAAGTTCGCAGGTACCACCAGGAGGCCCGTCACGCAGTCAGGGAAAGCGCAGTGAAAGGAGATGTGTCCCGACGAAGTGACAGCGCGGCACTGGGTGATGGAGTCTTTTACATCTCTCATTTAATGTTGTGCTAATATCGTTACAGTTAGGGGCTACAACGTCACGATTGGACCAAGTTATCAAAAATGTTGACGCTCCCCCCCCCGCCCCCCCAAGCTAGTATACATCAGCAATGTAGATTCTAAGACACTGTTGCGACAAACATCAAATCCACCCACATTCCCTTCAAAGTTAGCGAATTATCAGCAGCAGGTGGGATATGATTGATCACAGTGCGCAAATTTCTTTTCTTAGCCATAAACGGAAGGCCAGAATGATATTTTTTCCGCGTAGCGCCACATAGCCGGCGCACGCACGCTGAACGCAGAGGTATGTTATGTTGGCTTTATGTATAAGCAGAGCGTAATGAGGTGAGCTAAAAGTATTAGCGAACTCGAGGGTGTCGGAAGTTCATTCATCCGCGAAAAGAGATTTCGTGTGGCGACAAGTTCGTAGCCGCCTTTCCGCTCCAAACTTAGGGTGCACAAAGAAATGAATGGGAAGGCTGCTAGGTGACAATTATCGAAAATGACGCCGAAACAAAGACAAACCGAAGCAAGGATGTGGCCATATTATTTAACGGGGAAGGGGTTCTCGGGACGTCCGCGACACCATGGAGTAAGCACATTCAAAAGAGTAAACGTTATGGTAAATTAATGACAAATGTATGATAAAATTTATTGCAGGTTTGTCAAAATCAAGCGTCCAGTTTCCTAGGAAGATATGTTATTTCCACTGCTGAGAGTATAATATGAGCGTGATATTAAGATAGCTAGAAAAACATTCAAAACAATAAGAAATATCGTTGCGCCAGCCTTGATGTGGCACCGCCATCGTTATAGGTTAAGCACTCACAAAGCGGTAAAGCGTCGACACTTTCGACCCCATTTGATGTAAGAATTGACGCTAGCCTAACGCCTTGCGATACGACCCCCTTTTTTGTCGGCAGAGATACGATCCCCCCGTTGGACTTTGTCCAACGGACGGTTGACCCTGGTTACAGGAGTACGCCCTGCAATTCGAACTGTTTGCGTTTTTGACTTCCCTCAGCGCAACAAGCTTCCTGTCAAGCACCCTTAAGTTCGTACACAGCCTAATTTTTTTATTTTTCATCGACTAATTACGCTGATTGATGGTGGCCACCTCGAAAGACGCTGTTTTAGCCGTTTTTTCAAAAAAGGTGCCATGTTTATTGCTGTTCAATTTTCAGTACTATATTTGGGGCGTGGACCTCTTGAAGTCTTGATACACTTATGCTACTCGTTTTCAGATTCGATGGTCCGTACCTTCTCAGTGTACCGGGCAGTGACTACTCTATCGTAGTCAATAACGTATGATCAACGCTTCTCTACTGGAATCTCTGAAGCACTTCATTTGCAACGGACTTTCAGAACACCGCCACAAATTACGCATGTGAATACCCACGGGTTTCTTTATCAGTTCAAATTCATTTTGCAATAAGAACGAAATTTTGCGAAGAGTGATGGACTACCAAAGCAACCACAGAATTCGTGTATTTTCACATATTCCGCATATTCTTCAATAATGAACATGCCATAAACAAATTTCATCTACATGAATGAAATTACTTGTGAAAATTCCTGCTTTCGATGTTGACTTGTATTGATCTTCTCGTATTGAAATCGTTCCTAAATCTGGTGTGATTTACATCTTCCAACAATGCAGTTGACAACATGACGGGTAACAGAGAACTAAGTGCGGTTGTACACCCCTGCATCACGTGTATCACCTGTCGTCTCGTTGTCCATTTGCTCGAGCGGGCGCCAGCAAGGCCTCCATTCGTCCCTGTCGCGTGCTAGAGTAGTCCAGTGGGTCTCCTCGCTCGAGGAACACGAAGCCGTTCATTCCTTTCGTTCAGGGCTGTCGTGAAGTCTGTCCATCGAGCCGGCGGTCCTCCAGGTGTACGTTTGACGTCCCGAGGTATCCAGTCGGTAACCGCTCTGTCCAACTGTCATCACAAAATCGCATGACGTGTCCGGCCTACCTTATTTTCGATTCCTTGATGAAAACTGCAGCGACCCTAATTTGCGACCGTTGGCGTGATCGAAACTCCGGAATTTCGGTTGACATTAATAATTCATGAAAAGGAGGCCTTCTGAAGGTGAGCCGCTTATTCAAAACGCTGTTTGGGTGTTGAAGATTTCTTGAGAGCGGCAAATGTAGATGCTCATGGAGCGGGCCTGGAGAGCAAGAAGGAAAATAGCTTAGAGTGGGTTTGCGTTGACGGGTTTCGGTAAAATTAAGTTGAGGTGTGTGATGGTCCTGATAATTCGTGCCATGCTAGCGGTGGTGGGGCTATTTGTGAGGAAAATCCGGAAGCTCCAACCTAACGGGGCAAGAATTTCCTTCGCCGAGACGACTGACACTTGGACCGTTTCTTTACCACTTTTGGCTTTCACGGGCTACTCAGCGAAAATGGATAATCTGGTTTGTTGCCCATTCATGAATTCTGGGTAAGATGCAGAAAATCGTTTTGAAAAAACGCTAGACATCCTGAAGGACCTTCCTTGCAGGCATTGCTCCTCGGTTACCAACCGATCCCTTCACATGTAACCCATTTTGCTCAGACTTTACGCGCCTAGCCTCTAAAATACGCTTTACAAACTTCTTAATAACGAGTGAAGACTCGCGTTCCCCCCGCAATCCCTTCAATTCCTATTCGAGCACGAGTGCACACAGAAAGTGAACAGGGGTTGCCTGTAAAGCAAAGCGAACGGTACGTCAAAAAACTTTTCAGAAAACTTTACACTCCGTATAATCTCACATTCACCCTTTAATCTGATATTTTGGAAGTCAGTCCCCGAATAGGAATGGGATTAGAAGGTCCGCGCTCGTTAGCCCCAATTCAGAAACCAGTCCGCTAGAAATATTTCTGTAAATGAAATGATCTTGTTTTATGGCCTCATTCGGATGTACAACAGCAAGCAATTCTACGATTAATTACACAAAATCAAAGGAATCAAAAATTCCCATTTTGCTCTTGGATTGCTTTTTCACAGCATAACGCCATTTTTGGGATAAGAAAACATTTGCGCACTATAATCTATCCTTGGATTACAGATACCCACAATGTCGGCACCTGAAAAGAGAGCTCTACCCCGGCGTCCATTGAATTTTTCTGGATAAAAACACCTCTGTCTCATTAACCACACTCAAATATGATTTGATTTATCAGAAATCTGTTTTTAATAAATTTGAAGCAACAAGATAATCTGTACAAAAACTGAAGATATGAGCAAAAAATACACGGGGTGACTCATAAAGCTAACAACTGTTGCCTTAACCGAGATACATAGACACGGTACGTCTAACGAAATCACAATCGAAATAAGGCCAGTTTGGCCGAACCACACGACATAGCATTTGCTTTCCAACTATCGAGAGAACACTTGTGGCGCGGCAATAGGAAAGGTACATAGCGTCCGGCGCCTTTAGATCACCCTTTATAATGATTGATAACTAATCAAGACGAATGAAAACGAATGTGGTTACATACGTAGAAAGTTACAAGTGATTTACTCAATACAGAACGAGAATCTAGAAAGCAGAACGATCAAGTGATTGTCGGGCACAAGATATGAAGCTACATGAGACGCGGCAGCTGCACGCATACATCGCCAAGCTGCTACTAAGCGAACGTTCAACAAAGCAACAACAATGAAGAGGATGGAAACAAGAAGAACCCAACAGGAGTCTGACATGGCAACTAAGTGGGCAAGAGTAACAAACTAATATGTAGAAGCGTCCAAACGCGGTCAATGTGAACGAAATCGGCACCAAAAATCAAGCACCATTTTGACCCACAGGTCAGACCAGGGAAGACCAGCACTGTTGAATATGTATAATAGCTAGAGTAGACTGTAAAGCCGGGCTCACAGCATGCTAACCAAGCAGGGGGCCATAAGCTGTGCAAGACCATTCTGCGATGAACATCTTCCGCTAAATCAAGTTGCGCGCATATAGAGGAGCTACAGGGAGCTGTAAACCCAGCCTCGGACAGTAGAGACACGAAAACGTGCACCACAACCCAGGCAGCCGGCACTCGAAATATTTGAAATTTATCTTCACTAGTGAGCCCGCATAGAATCACGAACGAAGATCCACGAAAAATGCTTTGAAATATTGTATAAGCCTAGTACGAAATACATAGCAACAACAACACACCAGTGAGTGCCTAAAGACGTATCTGACCGCTTCGTCGAGTCTGTTGATTCCGAACCAAAACGATGTAGACCTATTAGAGCTACATCGCAGTTGCGAACAAACAACTTCATCAGCTGCATGATCCTATCTTCAGACTGCACACACTATGTGCAGATGACCTTCAGTTCTCAGGAAACTAGGATGCTCTGGCTAAAAAGCGGTCGGAATAACAGTGCCAGCTTTATCATCCATCTGCATTGCATTGTTGATGATGTCACTAACAACTGCCATCAATCTTGTGTACACACTGTCCGCTTCCGTGGGATCTGCCAATCCCAAAAGTGATAATTGACAGGCTGCCTTGAAAAAGTAACAAATCAGCAAACAATAAAAGGAAACTACAAAAAGCTAGAAATTCATGGAGGACAGTACAACCCACCTGTTCCACTTCATGACAAATGTCTGTCGCCGGTGATATTATGCTCTGCAGTGGCGTTTCGAAATGCCGGTCGGCTTGCGTAGCCCCATGAATTCTCTAGAATTCCAAACTATTCAGGGTCTTTGAAATCTAGGGTTTTGCATATATTTAGCTTGATGTTTAGGTTTCTATAAGGTTGGTTATTACGATGGGAAATGCTTTATTCGTCAACGTCTCGAACACACGTCGTCTCCAAGGCTTGACCATTTCATTCTATGAGGTTGATAATAAAGTATCGCCCCACCCTTTCAGTGAGTGGCCCGGGAGTTCGGTGAGCTTACCTTTTCCCTGCCTTTTTCCCAATTTCGAACACTAGATCCTATGTTCTTCAAGACCTCAGCCACGTAGTGGGGTTCCAAATTTCATGAGATTGTCACATAGGGGGAGCGCTGACTTGCTTTCTTGCAATCAATTCCTCAGATAAAGTGGAAAGAATCTACGCGCTCACCGTGATATTTGCTCTTTGAGAGGAGTCGCAGGACAGAAACACCAGGGGCGATGCATTCCAAGTTTTCGTTGATATGACTCCACCTGAGATGCATCATAAATACACGAAGCCCCTAATTGTTGTCTCAGAAATCAAAACACATGGACATAAAGTAGGCGATGATGGTCTTGGCTGATCTGGCGGGGTGTGTACAAGATCGCGCTCAAGATGCATTTTTGTAAACAGTTGGGTCCGCATCACGATATGGCGGCAGGATTGCCAAGAGGACATGGTCGGTTTCCACCGGATGGTTGCAACGATGCGTGAACAAGATCATAATTGAGCATGGGTGATTGCGGAAAAAAGGGAAGATGTTTTAAAGAAGGATGGATAAAACGTTCTATAAATAAAACTGCACCTGGGTGCATGTGGGAATAGGTTCGGGACAGAGGCTGACGGCTACGATTCGTAGAGAAGACAATTAGAATTGATTGCTGCATTTTTTTTTTGTGCATGCATGTTAATACGTGATGTGGGTTTCAATATGGACCCATAATTCGAAACAAATATTCAGCGAAAAAGATTTCTGGGCACCCTGAAAGCCGAGCCAACAAATAACTACCAAACACTATGAAAGGTTGCGAGATGCGCGATGAATTTTCGATTTTGTTAATGCAATGAAAGCGAAAGTCTGCAGAAACGAAAATTCTAGGGCAGTCAGAGGATTTTCGAACGGCGCTGAGGCATTTCGCGCGAAGGCCCGAACGTGGGCGATTAAATAGAAGTAACTCGATATTAATGTGAGGGAATGAATTGATTCAATTTTGGAAGGATCTTCCAGATCATACCCCATGATAATTATATGACTCACATCACAGCACAGAAGTTACGTAAGTGCCAGCATCCAACTGCAATCAGCGACAAGATTCCGGGTCAGACTCGGCGATTGAACGCGATGGACCAAACGACAGAGTCGACGCGAATTGTCGCTCGCGTCGCTGGTCCCATCGCACTGCAATCGCCGACGAGTTGACCGACATCTAATGGCTGAGCGGAGGACGCAGCAATTGTGGCCGCGATTCGAAACGCGAGTGCAGCCGAGATCCAACAATTTTAAACATTGACGACCATGCGAGTTTTGGTAGTTTGGCAGTGGGACGCGGCGGATTTTTGCGGGCGCGCTCGGCCTCAGGTCGTTGCAAGCAGATTTTGAGTGTTAAGGAACCATGAATACTGATCAAGTAAACCGGGATGAGTAAATTGTTAATAAGCACAATCGAACTCAGGTTGATAGTAGTGACTTAGTGGCATGGCGAGGAAAGACATGAGACAAGTAACAATGAAACAACGAAATATGGAAGAATAGCCTGCAATGGGTTCAGAGAAGCAATTTTAGCGTCGATTAATTCCATCAAAACACATATTGCATCTCTAAGGTTCAGTAGTTACTCTTATACTACTTTCTACTCTTTCAAATTCATAAGAAAAAGGAAAGAAAATTTATTAAAGGCAGATTGCGGGATAAATAGTGTCTAAGCGTTCAGTCATGGACACTAGGAAGGTGAGAGGGTGGGTCTATAAAAGAAAAGGAAAGAAGCAAAATCAAGATTATGCCCCGTACAGGAACCTCCCTATTCAGGACAGATTGCATTGGAGAGAGAAAAGACGGTGGACGCGTTTTGCGGAGCCTGACTCTAGTTGCGTCGTGCCATTGAACACAGCGTCGCGGTGGACGCCTGCTCAATGCGCCCGCCGCTTTTCAAGAGCGAAGCACGTGCACGGACAGTGGAGGGTGGGCGTTTTAGCGGTTGAAGGTGTTGAGTTGAAGGGTCGACGAGCTGCTTGTGCCTGGGTGTCGTGCACTTTCAGCGGAAAATGGGTGTGCGCAAAAACTTGTCGCTGCAGACTACCGGCCTGGATGGAGGAGGCGAGCGGCGCTAATCGCGGGCGGAAAGTGCTTTAAGACGGGAAGATTTCGTATGGTTCAGAATACTTCTTCTTAAATTAAAGAGACCGTGATCATTTTATTGGGCACTAGTATTGTAGTCGTCAAAGTCTCTTCATGAAATGAAATACAAGAATTCTAAAGACTTAGGCGTTGCGCGGAAAAATGACAGGGTAATGGTGCGGGGGATATATCCGCACGCGATCCGAATGACCTGCCAATGCGCGGGAATATAATATCCCGCGGTTGTCGGTCAATGGGTTAACATTAACAGGTGATAATAGAATGCCACACTAGCGAATATGTTTCAGCACAGAATTCGTGCCCGCCCACTCGCGGACAAATCACGAACGTGACACCTAAACCCCACTCAAAGACTGACACGAATTAAAGACAAACTAAAATCCTGATCGCTAAAATCGTTAATGCTCTCAATCTTAAAAAAATGTAAAAACGAAGAGGAAAACAACCTTTTCGGCATCTCTACATCCGCTTTGTGCCCAAATGGAAAGTTGATGTATTGGAAGTTCAACAGTGCTCATCGATTCTGCTAGCAATCGAGCGATTTCATCACGTGGTGGGACACGATCGACAAGGAATTGAATCAGCGTTGCAAAAATCCACTACAAAAACGAGAAATAACCTTGAGCTGGTCAAATAGATAGATGAAAACTGAATTAGGAGAGGGAGCTTGTGCCTGTGTCTTTAGTGCTAACATTAAGAGCGCTGCTACCACACAATAGATCATTGGGTGTATCAATTTTCTTATTCATAGCGTTGGTGAGCTCTTATCTTGTCGCGGACTAAAAACACAAAGTGACGATGCCTCCGTCCTCCTCCTTCTATACCTCCACTACCATCGAGGAGCGTACATTCCTCGAGTATGTATAAAAGTGATAACATACCAAGACCGGGATGATGTTGATTCCTCGTATGATGTAACTTGGTATAATATAATCGGCATGTTCCAGGAAGACAGATCCCTGGAAAAAGTTTACATTAAATCCCTCACAATTAACAAAATCTCCTAGAAAACCATAGATCTTTGTAATTAATAAAGAAGGGAACAATTTCAGGCTTTTACCTGAACATTTCCAATTTCTGCGTAAAGTCGTGCATATAAATGTGTCACAGCCCTCACCATTTTCAGCATTCTTATGTTCATTTCAACGGCTTTGAGTGAGCTGCAAAATTCAAAACTAAAGAAAAACAGAAAAAGGTAGGGGAAACGGCATATATACTCGATATCGGTGAGTTGGGGTGGGCGTGTCACCGGAAGTGACGTGCAATTGAAGGAAACTATGTGGATAAGCTACTTCCAACATACATCGCTGGCTAAAGCAAAGCATGCTGGCAACAGTTTACGCACTTCTATCAAGTGTACGTCACTTTCGGTGACACACTCACCCCAACTTCCGGATATCGACCGTAAATATTGACAAGTGAACCATTTTTGGCGAGTTACTGTAGTATCGACTCCCATCTACACAAAAATAAACTCAGGCAAACTAGACGAGGAGCAGTTTTTCCATCAGTTTCACAAAGTCGTAAGCTGTCAAATGCAACGGAACAGTAACTTATCGACAATAAGTGTAAAAGTGCGCAAACTTCGAAAGGGCGGCTATACTACATAGGACTTTTCGACGAGATACATCTCCAAAAGGCGCTCATGCTTGAAAAATGGTTTCCATTAGTTATTAAAAATTTTTCAATATTTGTGGTTAGACCACTCATGTAACACCAGAACCATTGCATCGAGGAAGAAATTTCTAGTAAAAGGTATCCAACTCACAGTCGCGGCAAATTCGCAGCATTGTTGTGATTCATGTCGGTGGCTACTTGACGAACAACACTCCATAAAGTCTTTATCAAGTCATACAAATGAGAAGCGTGCTAAAGGTAATGAATACAAGACTGACAAAGAAAAATTAAAATTTTAGTGAGAATGACGCTAACCCGAAAGACGACGAGGTAATGCTCGGCATGCGGTACAGTGGTGAATTCGTCGATCTCTTCGCGTGCAAACCTCGCTATTCCTCTGAACAAAACTATTTTGAATTTCTTGAAAAACCCAGTTGAACAACTTCACGATAAGGTGGGAAAAAGAAGAAAGAAGTATTAAATGTTTGATGCCAAACAGAATACTTACTCGGATTCCGCATTGACGAGAGCGCGCACGATGGCAAACCGCATTACCTTTGCAGGGGCTCGGTACCCCATTGTGTACCAAAAGTCAGGCAGACAACGTAATGCCTTACATCGTTCAGAGCATACAACGTTGTCAGTTTCGTCATAAAAACTACTTATCACCTGAAATTGTTCTCGTTAACTTTGGGCCACAATCGCGAACCTGAGAAAAACAATAAATCTTTATACCCTGTTATACACTTCTCTAGCGTCTACTGCTCCGCTTGCTTCTGCCCTCCGCACGAACCTATAACGGACACTCTTATGGGAATAAGCCTTCATGGAACTCCAAATCGACAACTCACGCTATGAACATTGGTTTAAGGACGTTTCGATACATTAGTTTAGACTGGGTATCAATAATACTTTCGTGACTAACCGTGGACGGGTAAGTCGTAGAATTGAATTCCAGAAGCGAAAACAACTAAACAAATAATGAGAACTGAAAGCCAAAAATGTCTCAAATGGGAAAAAAAGAAAAAAACAAGAGTGATACCTTCCGCTTTTCTTGTTCGAAAAGTGATTCCGAAAACAATGGATCGCAGCAATGTGACAAAGGCAAAGCTAGATTTTCAGGATCTGCTAGCGCCTTAAACACACAAATTTCACATTATTGCCTTCAGACAAAAAATGAAGAGACTGATTCCTTTATGGGAACAAAAAGTATGTATAAAAAATAATGAAAGCATGATCCATGGGAGTAGATAATTTTTCTGTTCGAAGGCGAAATTCACGATAAGCCGATATCGTTGGAAATTGAACGAAGGAATTCAGAAGGTGCGACTGCGAAAAAAAGCAAAACAGTCAAAATGACGACAACCTATCCGCCACTGATTTGGGATTTGGCGACTTACACGGCTGCCATCGGAACAACATGCCTTCGTACTCTGACTTTGCAGTTAGTGCCGTCAATATTACTTGAACTTTCTTCAATAACCTGCCACGAATGGCTAAAGCATAGACGATCAGAGAACGCGCCTAGCTCGGCTCCAAGTTCTAAATAGAAGGGTTGGAGAGCTAAGACTAAGGTTTGAAGAGGGAGGGACTCCTGGGCGTGTGAGCTAATTTCAGTATGGCAGAAGCTTGGATGTGCGAGATCATGATAGTCATGGGCAGCTGTTTAGGCGGGAGAATGCAGGCGGGAGCACCAAATAGAAGCGATTCAAAGGACCGAGTCTAAAGAGCCCGTAAAGACTACTCAGACTTGTCTATGACTCACGCCATATAACACGGAAGGATGCTAACAAAGCTTATTCCAAGGCGAGGGGCTTGCTGTGAAAGGCACTTCTGAGAGTACATTGCGGCATACGTGCAGGGTGCAGTATGTCTGGATCCCATTGCATGGTTTCTTCTGCAGAAGCGCCAAATATCTTCTATTTGGACACCCTCCTATCGTTCCCTCTCATAAGCATCAATTTTATCGCTGAAGTGAGTGATAGAATTCGCCTTCAGCAACTTAAGCCTTCAGCAAGCTCTGCAGAACTGGTTTTCTTTACGAAGGAACATTTTCAACCGAAAAAATAACTAATGAGTGGTTGAATAGATTAATGACCCTTTTCTTCTACCCTCGAAACACTGAAACTTAGGAGTTACAGCAGAAGAACAAACTACATACACCCGAAGAGATAAATAAGCATCCACGATTCATTTCCTCAAATCCAGTAACATCCTTGAAATGGTAAAAATAAAAATACTAACCCTTTCCAAAGGAGTTCCACCGAGCAATTCACCCTCATTACCAATTGGGGGAGGGAGCGCAGCGAATTCTTTCTCGATAGCATCACGTGTATCCTCAAACTCGGTATTTCCTTTCGCGTCTTCATTCTGCGTACAGCGGTAACGCTCAATTTCCGATTCCAACGCTGCGTTTTCATTTTCCACCTGTTCTCGAATATCATTCGTGAGGAATGAGGAGGTGGGGCAGTCATCTAAATTAGTGTGAGCTAGAACAGGAGAAGCAAGAACAACTTCAGAAAACATGTTTTCGGATGCACACCCACCTGAAAAGAGCCATGGCTCTGCAGAGGAACTGACATATAGTAGGAAGTACGCCGATGTAGTTCGAATACCTCCGACTGCTTCCGCCTCTATATCGCCCCACGCTGCACTTTCAACTCTTTGGTCATTAAACTTCTCCCATTGAGAGTCGTCGTTTCCTACAACAGTATATTTGAAAAACATGAAAATAAAAAGAGGACAAATCGAAAATAACCGACCTTTCCTCACGTATGCCCAGTAATGGCCTGCGCTCGCTTGACCTTGATGTATGGCTACAGCGTGGAGCCGATATCCATGCTTCTTTAGATCGTCCTTTTCATAGATATTATCGATTGATTTTATCAACTCTGTTTCACGATCGCATAGCTCTGTAAATGCAAGTTAATGGAACGGTCAACAAAGCGAGTGAGCCATTGCTGCGTAAAAAAGTGATGCATTGCGTTCTAGAAAATTCTATGCAGTTATTTCGAATGAAAAGTTAGTTACTATTTCATATACTCACGTTTATGCTTTTCTTTCAGATCTCTTATTGTATTCTCCAACTCTGGTGCAAACGCAGCAAGCTGTTCCGAATTTGCCGCAACGGGAGTCACTAGAAACACATGGAATTCCCACCGTGCAAAGGATCAAAGGACTGCTTCTTACCTGCAAGTTTTTCCTCAATGAATGACTGCATCTTGTTTGCACATACCGGACCTGGTAACGGGTCAGCGGCAGTACCTTCATCCATCTTCTCACTGTACAAACTTGAATTTTCAGAAAAAAAAACAAAGGCAACACCCGTCATATAAAAACATACGTTTTGGTGCTGCTTCCTCTAGCAAACAAAAGCGCTGCACTAAGGATATTCACAAGCTTTTCAGTACGGTCTCCGATTGGGAATTCATTCAAACTAAAAATGACATATCTTCTTTTTTCTGGTAGCTGTACATCACAGGACTTACCCTTTCAGTTCAGCACGAACATTAGACAGCTCGCTTCGTAGGTGGTTTCGTGTTTCTCGTATACTGCTGACATAGTCATAGTTGCTGTAACATAAAATGCAAATACTTAATTTAAGAAATCAAGATTTGACAAGAGAACACAGCAGTATATCTAACGACTTATATGTACTTCCTTTAGAAGGAGGTGAGCAAGCGCTCATGTGATATTTTGAAATCTGAGTAGATTTTTTTGATTAGTTTTTCATTTTAGCAGAAAAGTGACAAGCCGAGGTTAATTGCTCATAGCACATCTTTCTAATTACTGTACCGGTTTTCCCCCACGAAGCAAAAAGAACAGGGACGCTCTGTCAACGCTGCGGCTCGAGCCCCACTTTTCTTAGCAACAAAGCCCACAGATGGTGATGGGGTTTCGCAATTCCACCATTCTCAAGACTTTAACAATCTTTCTCAAATGGCGTCCAAGCAGAGGGTCTAAAAGAAACAAACGCTCCTATATGAATATAATTTATGCCAGTGACCGGAGGGAGAACCACCATGACTCGAGACTAACCAGAACAAACCCTTGGAAGTAGTGTTTTTCAAATCCAATACATTCTAAGTAATGCTCTCATTTCCAGTTGGCCGTCTCAGATACATCTCTACACCCTCTTCGAAATTAACCCAGTGCGACCTCTTGATTCAACGCAAAAAATTGAATACCTCGCCATGTATCGATCCATGTAGATTGTACGAGGAAAGTGGAATCGCATGTTCAGTTTTTCCGTTTCTCCTTTTGTACCATTGAAAAAGTAGCGACCCAAAGAAAAAATAAGGACGGCGGGTAAGGTCTCAAACCATGGCTGCAAAAGAAAAACACATTACGTAAAAAGCAACTAAAAATAGTCACAGTACATTGCAACCATGTAGGAAAACGCTATTGGGAGGATATACAGACCTCTTTTCCGGAATCATTCAGGAATTGATGAGCTTCAAGAGCATCGTGCAAGTTACCGTGCGAGACATGAACAGGAAATAACGAGGTGTATTCCAGTTTATGCCATGAGTTTGTAATATCTGCAATGAACTAAAACGTTGTCACTTCTGATTTGACGGATACAAACCACGTCTTCAGTCACTCTGTCACTTCCTTTTCAACATTGGTCATAAACAACCTCGTCTTAGTTCACGAATACCGCTGCAAATCGTGATCTACTACCTTTTAGTGGGTGCACGACAAGAGGCCCGTCGCGCGGCGATACGGCAGGGCGCAGACGAGTCAGCGGACGCGCGTCCTGCAGTGACTGCAAGTCAATCCGAAGAGAATGTGCTATAGTACATCCCACATCACATAGCACGCGTTGCGACTCGTCTTGACCCGCCTGCATCTCTGCCTTTTAGCCGCGCGACCTCTCGGGTCAGGTACCTATCTTCCAACTGCTCCCTCAATGCTGCTAATCCTATCTAACAATGCACCTCCGTCCACCTTGCCATTGTGTCACCGACTGCTATTAGCTAGGGGGAAGGAAAACATGAGTAAATCCCCTCGGTTACTCCCGCATGTTATCTCTTTTCCATATACAGATGCTTTACCACCACGCACTCCACTCAATTTGTCGTCCACGGAAGGAAAAATAAATCTAACATAAAAAAGTCAAGAATAAGAATAAGTGAAAATAAATGACCGTTACTGCCACGCTCTGCTTGACAACCGTGAAAAAGAGCTTGAATACAGTCCAAATTTGATTGACGTGAGGGCGATTTGGCATCGGGTTGCTGCGTGTCTACGTCTGAACTTCCGCATGTAGAACAATGAACAGAGAAAGCAGACGATCAAAACACTTGTCGAACATACTCATATCCTCAGTTTTGGCGACATCTCCTTCTTTTTGGTCTGACACTGCCGAATCCATAAATGCAGAGCCCGCCGCATCGACCGAAGCCACCGGAGAAATCTCCATTGCCTCCAAACTGCGACTGCTCACAAGTGGTGATGATTGCTGAATGACCTTATTGTTTACTTAAGTCAACAATTTTCTGTAGGTTACATAGGTTCAAATGTTACACGCGCATAGACTACTTGTAGCCTAGTGAATCGTGACCGCAGACCTGTTACAAGCGTAGAGTTGATATCGGGTAACCAATCCACTGAATAAAAACATCACCACCATTATGTATCCTTGGTATCGGATAAACAACAGCATCGAATGGAGAGATAACCAAAGTTATGTATCGCTTTTTCGATGCCATTAATCATCTGATGCCACGTCTATGTTCCTAAGTCTGCAGTCACGAGTCACTGAGTGGTTAGTGTAGAAAAATTATTATTACAAGTTCTATAAGTATGCGATACTCGCACAAACTAGCGAATGCGTAAGCCCGCACAACCTGAGGTCTTCTTCAGAGTCTCTTGTTTTGAATATGTTGCATATCTATTCTTTCTTATCGCCAAGCTGTCGCTTACAATGGTTGAGCAATCTTCCCACTTTCCTCAAACTTTCCTTTTTTATAACAGAGGGTTCCCGGCGCGCAAATTCTCTGGTGTACATCGGGATCATCTATAAATTCATTAATGCGAGAGGAATCAGGAACCGATGCGCGCCTTGGCCGAATGTCACGAAAAATGAACCTAGGAAGACTTCTATAACTTGAACCCAGATTATGAAGTATAGCATCTCGTCGATTTTGGAACAGATGGCTTATAGGAGTGGATCGCTAGGACGGGAAGCGACCTTTTCGAGTGAGCAGCGTGAAACATTTCTCGCTGCGGATACCTCAGACCTCGGTCAGACTCGGCGATTGCGTCGCTGGACACCAGCGACGGAGCCGCCAGCCACAAGAGTGGGCAACGTACGATGACTCATCACACGATCGATATTGGTTGGCAGGGGGAGATTAATCCTTTGACGACAATGCGGATTTGGAGCGTGCTCGTGGGACCGCGCCTCTTTTTGGCGCGACCAAATCTTGCTCAACATGATGCAAAATTTCCCCTGAACGCAGTTTTTCTTTCTGATTTTTGACTTTACCAATAGACAAAATGTAACTACAGATGAGAGCTTTCATAGTACACATTGTTGGGAAACGAATTGAACGTTTGGAAGGCTAACTCGGATTTCAAAGGGATGGTGGTTAAAAACTAGAAGTTCATACGTACAAAAGTATTTTGATATAGTTCAGACTCATACTTGTGTCTTAAAACTATGAAAAGACTTAGAGGTCCTGATCGCTAATTTACCTTAAGCTGATTTGTAAAGACTAGTTATTATGTCGCCGAGCGAAGTGCCACATTCCAAAATTTCATACAAATTAGTAGTGTGATCGATCGATCGTGTGATGAGTCATCGCCCGTTGCCCACTCTTGTGGCTGGCGGCTCCGTCGCTGGCGGCTCCGTCGCTGGTGTCCAGCGACGCAATCGCCGAGTCTGACCGAGGTCTCAGGTCCACCGCTGATCATAAGCGGAGCTGGGGTTCCCGCGGAAATTTTTCGCGCTGTACAACGCGAAAAAGTCGCTTCCCGTCCTAGCGAACCACCTCGAAGCTTACTACTTGGACAAAACCTCCCATCCAATATACCAACTGGAGAAAACCTTCCAGAAGACGTGAGATGGATGATCTCAACCGTACTTGCGTGCCACATTTCATGCTTTCTTGAGACCTATAGGTATCTAACAACTTAAGGATAGTCAAGATATATTGAATATATCTAATTTATCATTGGTAAAGTTACTGCATTTTTGGTTTCAAAAATTTTTTACAGTTCCCTTATAGGTGAATGAAAACACTTATTTGATTATAATTGGCATGCAATATATAATAAGAACATGGTGCATGAGAAAATGTTAAGAGCAGGTACGGAGCAAAAAAAAGTCGTTAAAGATCCCAAATATGATTGCAGCCAAGTATTGCAAATCTGCAACCTAGGGAGCAACAGTAAACACCGTTAACTTATTCAATGCACAGAGTTCATAAACGAACCATAAGAATTATTACCTCAATCACTTCAGCGTTTTGTTCCGATTCCTGACCAGTTTCTTGCAATGCCAATCCCTTCTCCATCCATTCCATCAAGTTCGACATCATCTCTGATGCATCCTGAGTGCAAAGCAATTAGTAATGGTGATGCAAGCTCAATGACTGCGAACTTTTATAGGTACTACACATGGTCATCATAAAGGACCCGTACAACAAATATTCGGAATGGTATCAGTCAGTGAATGGCCAAAAAGCAGCTGCTGGGAATCTATTTCGTGTATCACTCAAGTCCAATAAGCCATCAATTTCAACCAACGCATTAATTCGCGTACAATCCCAACAAGTTAATATCCTTCTATGTATTTTATAAACCGCTAACTTGGTGTGTCTTTGTATGTACGTCGGTATGTCTGTCTGTCCGTCCGCAAAATGAAGTGAGTGACAAGACAGTTAATGGAATAAACAAACCGCTAAGAACCGGATACCTAGCAGCGTTTGCGCTATCAATATTTTGCAATGGCATGACGGCGATACCTAACGGCTAGATAGACACCTAATTAGCACGCTTCCGGCCGTACCACAAAGTGCTGCAGTGGCAGCCGGAAGGCAGTAGAGGGAGGAATGTAGGATGGGGAGGGTAGGCGGAAAACCGTCCCAACAGACCTAACCATAAGGTGTAGGTAAGTAGATAAGTTATTCTACCGGCAACTCATGCTCTCTACTTTATGAAACCCCCTTTTGCTGCATACGAATCATTTCCACGGGGTGTTGCTGTTACAGGTGAAAGGAACTACACCGGAAGACGTAAAGCATACGCAAGGAACAAAGGTCCCGGCGGATGACGGGGGCCAATCTGTTTGTACCTATAAACGTGGAGGCGCGATGGCTTGACCACTTACACAGAGTCCAGGACAATGATCACGGTATAAGACCTCAGAGAATCGGAAATGGGAGGATTCGTGGTAAGAATTCTTTACGATTGTAGAATGGCGAACTGCTCCCTATGGGAAGTCAACTGATCGAAACTTATCCAAAGTTCCGTTGTTGCTCTGTTATTTCGCATACGCGATTCTCCTGTGTGCTTGTCCTTGCAGTAATTTATAATTCTTTGGCATCATTTACCCGTTACTGCCCAACTCCTCAGAACCGCATCCAAACGAAAATTGTCTAGGATTATGGATGGGGTTGGAATTATGGACAGAAAGTTGCATCTAGGAATACTCAAACCCGTAGAACACCTTGAATCTAGGAATATCACTTCAGTTCTCCGCGGGAACGCATGGAGCCGGCAGCTGTGGTGCAAGTTACAAGTTCGCTTGCAACGGACTAATGCGAGGTTCATGTCCTACGGTCTAGCTACCACTAGCGACAAGTAAGCAGCGAATCTGGTGATTCGAGGCGTTCTTCCGTCTTTTGCCGCCGGCTTTTGTGGCGCAGCGCTAGGCGTATTCACGCTAAAAAAATTAGATATTCGCTTTGCAGAGGTCGAACTACCCCTGAGGACAACTTTCTAGCCAAATTACAGACATGAACTATCGAAAAATCCGGCTCAGCTTTCATGGAACTTTCAACGGAGATAGTGTGATACGGTAACTTTTGTATGTGGTCACAGAACCAGCGGCCTTTCTCTTTACATTAATTCACAAATTCAATATACAAAATCAATAAGAAAGAAGGAAATACCGAACTTAGTTCAAGGAACGGTACAAGTTCAAGGAACAGTACACTGACCTGTTGCCGGCCAAGAATCACGTCACTTTTACTGCGAGCTGCTAAGGCACTGACGACGTTGAGCGCTTCACTCGGGTCGATATACCGTCTATTTCCAAGATCCATACTTGCGAACAAATACCTCATTTTTTCCACGAGATCGGCTTCCGTTATGTCCGCTTTCTAAATTGGATTCAATGGACCAGTAAAGAACAGTCTAAGGTGTAAAGCCGACCGTTATTGAATAAAAAGTTGCGCAGCCTCGACTTACCTGCACAGGATCTTCAGATTTTGAATCTGGTTCCTTCGGAGCGTATTCGTAAACAATTCGACGAAAACGAGGTAGGTGGAATAGCAGTTGAGCTACCACGTTAAACCAGCAGGTGTTACCCGTATTGTGTAGCCCAACCTAGAACCACCACAACTTTCTCGAATTGAAAAACTGCAAATTGACATGCTTAGAGAAACAAATGTAGTACTTACCGAAACACCCTCTTTCCTCAACATCTCTTCAGGGTTTGCAGGTAATGATGACACGTAAGAACGATTTCCCGGAGGACCTTGCGAGATTAACGATTCAGCTATAGCCCTGAAAAGTCAACACTTGCTCTGCTAATAACCATGTCCATAAAACACACAAACTTTTCGATGTCACTTTGCTCTCTTTCAGCTGCAGAAGTTAAAGCGGGCATAGGTGTAGCTGTAGTTGCAGTCGGACCGCTACATGATACGGGAGCTACGTTAACAGCACCACCATGGTGTTGCATTTCTGCTGCCGCCTCTTCGATTGTTTGCATCGGGCGGTTAGCACATCCCAGGGCCTGAAAAGGGTGATCGCACACAATCAGCAAGTAGTTTCAGTGCGAACAAAGTTTAACTAATATAAGGAATGGTAATAAGAATCTCGTAATCAGTATCTGAGAGGCAAACTAGTTGAGGTAAGTCAGATAGAACTAAAGCTCTCTCTTACGGGAGGAAAAACTGTGAAAACAGTGAATAAAAGCGCAGTCAAAACCTTGTTTCGAAAGAGTCAGAGATAGAAGACTCGATTCATTTCTTCAGCACACCTAACACAGCTCTCAAATTAAAAACATAAAAACAGGAAAGCGAAGCATTTGATATCGATGTGTTTGGATTTATTCATTTCACACCATATTACAAGGCTGAGGATGCTATGATACCAGATGAATTCGAATTATCAACAGGCCGTCAATCACTTTCGCCGAACCGCACTTTTAAACTGAAATTCGACGAATACACAGAGGCCCTACGATTTATGATGTTCAATCAACGTCTAGATGAGGTCTCAGTCAATAATAGAATACCGGCGACTGAAAGAAGCAAAAAGCGGATAACAGTACCTCAGGATGAAGTTTGCTGAGAATAACTCTCTTACCTCACTAATAGACAAAGGCAAACTTTCAACGTAAACAAGCAAATATATATAGATCGTCAAGTGAACCTAACAAGATAGATAAAAATGATAACATCATTTAATATGCTGCTTAGTAGACACTATCTGAACAATTATGGATTCGAAGCGCTAGCTAATTATACATAGACCCTGATTGCGTCGAAAAGTACAAAGCACGAGGGGTGTTCAACCGCATAAACAAGTATGGTACCGTTATCTGGCTTTGGCTAGGAGTGGGACCAACCGGGGACAGGGATCCGATTGTTAGCGTTTATAAAAATTTCCCCAAATAGCTGCAGCTTACCACTACTAATAACAAACCCTCAAATGGTAGTGGTAACCAAAGCGAACAAAGAAGAGAGAAAAACCTAAAACAGAAGATGGTACACTTTTATGAACTTACGCGGACGAGGCGTCTGAGACCGCTGCTGCTCCCTTTTCGCATGCGTGGTTTGCTCAATCCATATAGTATGCCCACAATTCTTGGCAAATACTGCTTCCTGATTGTTGGTTTCTGACTTTCTCAAATCTCGGTGCTAACAGGCAAAAACATGATTTTTTAGATGTCGATAAGCTGAATTGGGATAATGCACGTACTTGATGGAATGCAGAACTAGCTCTATTGCAGGTCAAATATATTTTGAAAAACTCAACCCGTACGCTTTTAAGCAGAGGTTCCTCATCAAAAATCAGATGATCCCAGAAATGATCGAATGTGCTCTATCGTGCACTAGTTCTCAGGAGTGGGCTTCCACCAGTCTAAAACAATTTCCATTTAAGTTATAAACATCCAGTGAAAATATTGAAAGATGTCAAACGCAAAAAAAGCTGCCTACCATCGAAATGTAAACTGCTTTAGTGGAGTTACATAGGTTTCGGAAAACGTTGTAGGCAGGAGGAAGAGAGACTTAACGGGCGTGAAAACTGTGCGGTTGGCCCTGTGACTCATTTCATTGCACGCTAACGAAATATATGTTTAAAACAGTAGCCCACGGACTGAACAGCCGACAAATCATGGTTAAACTAATAGATTTACTGATGCAATCTGGCAGAAGAAACGGAAAAGGATGAACTTTTGCGAGAGAGTTGGATGCATTGAAGTGGTAAGGATAATAAACATATCCAGTATTAATACTGAGCACGGGGATACTACTGGAACAAAAAACGTACACTGTGCGCAAACAAAAGCGAACAAATTTTTTAATCAGCCTTGGCCATGCAACGGCATACAATAGGCTGAAAAGAAAACATTAACTCTCATGATTCCCTTCAAAAATACCAGAAACTTTTCGAGAAAGTAAAATAATGGCAAGGTGCCAAGCACATCGGTGGGCATTGCACAACTGACATGGCAACCACAAATCCCCGAACGTTTGGCATCACGGATACTGATCATTTCGTTTCCGAGACATTGGAAATGAGATTTCTCAGTTGGAGAATTTGCTCCGAAAAAAAAGAGCGTGAAATGAAACAAGGAATACGTCAAGGACCGCCACACGGAGGTTGGGAGCGAACAAAATCCCGAACAATCGATTGATTTAACAAAGTTCCATCTGACAATGTCTCGATTGTGGACTTTTTGTGCTATGGGAGTCTTCAACACTTTCACATTAGCAGAAAACTACTAGAATAAGGTGGTAATTTGAAGGACTGTTGCTTTATCAAAGAGCCGCCCGCAATTGCAGTGAATTGAGCGCGTACTGCCGACGGAGCACATCAGTCATGACCATGAAAAAAAAGTCCAGGAGATTCCTTGTCGATCTGTACCGCTTCTATTCGCTGGCTGTTCTCACTCCCATCAATACATTCGTGCGCAACTAGTAGTTGTACGAGTTATTCGAGAAGTTTTGGAGTTTCTCCTATACGAGTGTTGAACACCAACGCATAAATAGGTTCATGGTGTCCTCAAGCTGCAGCCACAGTTTGCGATCGTTCGACTTATCCTCCGATGGCGATTGTGGATGCAATACAAGTGGGGTGGGCACGCCGTATTTTTGGATTACGGTAGGCGCGAAATGTATGTAAGTGAGGGACGTTGCTCGCTACCATTACGTGACGGGATGCTATGAAGTAACCATACATTCCAGCTTTTCACGCATGTCAAGTGATTGCCCTCATTCAACCAAACTCCCAGATTGGCTACACTCCCCGTAGCCTACGAATTTCCTCAGTTCTCGTGATACCAGCAGAGTAGCTGGCAGCATCCTCCACTTACATGCATTTCGCGCCTACCGTATTCAAAATACGGCGTGCCCACCTCACTTGTATTGCACCCGATTGTGCAGTTGCGTGATCAATTCCTACCTAGTCCACACTGTATTGTACGATCGGACGATTGGAAATCAAAAAGCCCCGTTCATAGATTGCGATTGACACGATTTGGCGATTTAGCGATTATGGTGAAAGGGGGCTACCGACTGAGTGACCGTCGACATGTCGCATCGATCTATGCTCTGGGGGGTTCAATTCCATCAATGTGCACCTGGTCCGTTGAGCATAATCGTCAAATCGCATTTCGCGATCTATGAACGGGGCCTAAGCTGCCTCCATTCGATGCTCTCGTCTGCGCTCTCTCGCGTAATCAGTGGCTCATCACTGTGATCTCAAACATTCAAACTTTTTCCCACTCTGTTGGGCTCACTACCTCGGAGTTCCTCCCACCTACAAGGCTTATGGTTAGTCCTGAGCTTCCACTTTCCTCCTTGGGTTTTGGAGCCGAGGCAGGTGCCGCTCTTCAATCCTCTGCGCTCTCCGCCATGCGTGGCAGGGCCGCAGAAGAAAGTTCAAATAGTGAAACCAGAGGAAGACACGTCCTTACGAGGGCTTTGACACGGCGCCTGAGGCGGAAATGCAAGGTTTTGTTCTACCATGACATTGGTGTGGTATCCGTCCTTCCTTCGAGGAACAACCTTTATTCCTGAAGAAATCACGTAGCTTTATTCGTGAAAAACAGGTTCGCGGAGGGGTGTGGGTCACTTAGGCACAGAAAGCGACTTTATTTCGCGTTCGCAGGCGCGATCGTTGCGAAATCTCGGCTCCTCACTGATGATTCGCTGCTGGAATTCAAGTTCACTGAATAAGCAGCGGTGAAAGTGCGAAAATGTTGCGACAGCTGCGACAACGCGAAAAAGCGTTTTCTTCCTCGTGAAGCGGGGCGCAAGCCCTGTTCAGCGTTCATAGACTGCTAGTAACCTCGCAACACTCGAATTTACCCTGGCTCACGGGTTTCTCCGCGTCTGCGAGCACGTAAGAGCATCAAGCTCAAAAGCTTTGAATGTAGCGTTTTACACAGCTCCACACTTCTTCACTCAACGACGGAAAGGAAGGCAGCATAGGAGGAGTTTCGCGTTTTCCTGCACGGTCACCGTCGTAAATCCATATTATTGCCGTCAAGGGGTCACTTTTTGCGACGCGTGCAAATTAGGCGGGCAATTGAAATTTCGGGTCGTTTGCTGTAGTGGAGGGACGGGAGGGGATAGGAAGTTGGCGCGCTGTTCTGCGCCCTGTTGTGCTAAGGTATTGTAAAGCTGTCGGCAATTTCAGAAGTCACGTATTTCAAGACTCGCCACATCACGGCACTAGTATGGAAGCTGGCGAGGGACCAGTCACCGACACGCCGCGTGGACTGGGTCTTCGTCCTGCCCGGATAATACTGTGCAGCAGTAGATGAACGCTGAATCGTAGTCCTGGAATTGTCGTAGGACGTTAATTAAGCAAAGAGAACGCAAATGGGAGAAATAAAAAAATTGACGCGCCGTTTATGGGATTATAGTTCGGTCGTACGAGCGAGCGATCGTACAGCGTTAGATACGTATCGCGTAGTTTAGATTTGGCAGACACGTTGCTTACGAATCGATACTCATACAATGGCTGTACGACCGCGTACGATCGTTACAATGTTGCGATCGAACGGCTCCAGACCGGCGACGCATGAGTCGGTCGCGACGACAGCAACGGACTGCCAAGTGTCGACATGTCGGCGTGCGTACGAGATCTGCGACACCTGACAGTCGTTTGCTGTCGTCAGACCGCTGCTGTCGGCAGACCTACGGGGGTTACGCACCGATGCGCTGGGCGAACATTGCCAGTCGTTGCTGTCGTTGACGACGGACTATGCGTCGAGCCACTGTTGGGGTTCTTCTCGATTCGAAATTTTTGCGTGTGAGAAAGTACGGACCGCTGTGATTACCGCTGCCTCAACTCAGCGTGAGAAGAAGTGTTTGATGGTTCTGTCAGGTGTCGTTGCGCAGTACTTCTGGTCTTTTTTTCAAGTACGCAACTTCTCACTTTCGATTTCTAGTGAAGTACAGGGGTCTCATCCAGTAAGGATAGGGGAGGCTTACGTAGTGGGTTTACGAGTTTTTTTGCTGGCTTCATAAATTCCATATTTTGCAAGGGAGGAATCGCCGGAGTGCTGTGAACATTTCGCCCGTTGACTTGTACACCGACCTCTACAAATCCCCGTCTCGTAAAAAAATGTGGATTACGTTCATTACCAATGTACGAACTATCGCCACCACCTGGCATCCCCCTTTATTTAGATGTGAACCAATACAGAAATCACTTTTGGTCGGGTAATATTTTCGAAATTTTCTCTGGCTTACTCGCGTGGCGCTCTTGGGCGCCACGGGCAAGCTACCTTACTCCCACAAGCAGGTTTTGTCAAGAATCTTGTTGCGATTTTAAGCATGGCAGCGATAGTTCACCCTAGCACAGAAGACCGCCGCGGACGACGATAGTCGGATCGGACGACAAGCACGCTGCAAGTGTGCGCACTAGCATTGAGAGGCGTATCGATCGTCGACTTGCCTGAGTAGTCGACGATTAGAGGCCAGTCAGACAGTTCACGACAGGTTTGCGACCGTTGCTGTCGGGCGACGACTAATGCGCGCGGCCAGAATGGATTGAGATTAATTAGTTCAAAAGGAATGGCTTGTGCAGAGTAATGAGTGCAAGTGTCGGATTACCCCAGTGAGAATTCCTTTTGTTAGGCGTAGTCCTTCCATATTAAGTAGTAGGTTCATATGTAAAACCTTGTCGTTACCTACTGTTATTGAGAGTTGGATTTTTCTGTTTTTTTTTATTCTTTCCGTTTCGTTTTCTTCTAACATTTCCTCTTCTGTTTATGAGGAATGAAATTTTTCTAGAGATGGCTGGAAGAAGAGCGAATGGTAAAGCAGGAGAGCAGACAGGACGACGAAGCTTTATCTTTCTCGCCTCAACAAGCGGTACGTTTTCATTTTTTTTTGTTCTTCACCCCATTATTAGTGCTTAAAAGTTCGAGTCATTTATTTGAGATGGTGGAAAGTGGTATCTAAGTTGCTAAAGACGATCCATCAAGAGAGTCTAATCAAACATTCAGCAATGGTGGAAACAAATAATCACGAAGTTCAGGACACTGAAATATTAGGTTGGAAAGAAAGTCTGCAACACACTTTCTAGAATTTTCATTTTTCTCTGAAAAAATTGGTAAGATTTATGACTAGCAAATGATAGAGCATTCCCGGGGCTTCGATGCACGAGGTGGACATAAGTGCTGCAATCAGTGGTTTTCCAAGAAAATTCAAAAAACCCCGACCACTGCTAAATCTATACTCCGAGTCCCTGTTTCGTACAAATGTCTCCAAAACTATGGATTCGTGTCAACGACCGACACTATCGGCAGTAGCTTCAATAGGCATGCGGTTCACCACTACAGCGTGTTTCATCTTTACCAGCACTTTCGATCTTTTGATATTTTTATAAGAAGCCAGCAGCGTCCCACGCACTCCATTACAGGAAGGTCTCTTATGGAGGCTCAAACACAAATTCTTCGATAGGGCACCATTGTGTAGCTAAAGGTGTATGCAGCGAAACTTCAGAAGTTGGTCGAGGCAGCTCGTCAAGAGCCTTCGTATCGCAAAAATATTTATTTCTTTCATGACATTGCGAATTGCCATGATCTGAAATGATCCCGCTAAAAAATTCTGGAGCTGCGGCAAGATGCTTTACCTCTTTTAGCGTATTCCTCTGGTCAAGCTATAAATGACTGCCACCCATCCTGCACCATAAATCATAATCTTGACGACGAAAAAATTAGGCGATCAACTCCGACTCGAAAGTGAGGTCGCCTCCTTTTTTGACCCGCACTCCGCTAGGTTTTGGAAAGGGAGCATTGAGAAATTTTATGAGCGTTGAAGACAAGTGGTGGATACTCATAGTAGATATATGACCGGTCAAGAGTTGTAAATAAAAAAAGATAAAATTAAAATAAAAAATTTGAGAAAGTGTTGCAAGACTTTCTTTCCAGCCTAATATATGAATGGACAAATCTTAAAAATTGATTGGGGTCAGATAGAAGTTTAGAAGTGACTTAAACCAAGATGTTAGGAAGAGGTTTCTTCTTTTTCTTGTTTTTTCCTCAGATTACATGCCATTGGAAAGCGTAGGCACTATATGGAGAGGTGCGATGTTATAACGAGTGGACGATTAAGGAACGATGGTTTTGTTCCACAAGAGTCGCGAAAGAGTCTCTGATCTCTTTTTACAAGGGATCTGGACTGCATGCGATTTGTGGTTTTGTAGAGCCTCCACTAAGCACGGCGGAAGATATTTTTGTCAATTGTGATACTAGTTAACGCGAGCGCGCTTCTTATAGACGGCGTCTTGATGAAGTGACTAAAAGAGAATTGCGCACGCGTACCAGTAGGATGTTCGATCAAACGACAATAGTGATAAACGAGAGAGAGGCCATGCTTTCACTTCCCCGTAAAGGAATGTTAAAGCATTTCTGAACTCGGTTTACGAGATGTACCGCAGCTACTTTTGCGATGCTAAGCGCCTGGCATCGAGTAGCATCGGCTGCAGGACACTATGGGTGCCATCGCAGTAGCACATGCTGTTGGCAGCCATATGGGCAGCCTCCGTGAAGCCGGTGAATGTGCTTAAACGATACGAGTGGGTTATAATGTCTTCGGCATAAAGATAGATAATTCAAACTGAATAGAATGGGAAGGGAAAAAATTTTTTTTTGCGGCTCCTCTAGCATAAAGCCATTTTGTAAGCCAACTTAAATATCACCAAAAATAACAAGGAAAACTAGCGGCAATGGCAAATACTGATCTCATCTAACTCAGCGCGAATGGACTGTGATTTATTCCCTACGTCACATGAAGTCAGATATACTTTGCACATAATTGTACTATTGACTTTGGGCAGCATTTAGCGAGTCAAATTCAGGCATTCTACATTTTTTTCAGAACGTTCGTGAGTGGAGCGGCGGTGCCGTTATGGTAGGTGAATTCAGTGTATCACTGGTGGCACAAAGAAGATCACTAAACCTCATGCAGTGATATCGGGCGACGAATGCAGTCAGCACAAGGAATCGACATCCGCCAATTAAACCTATCGAAGTAAGTAATTATTTTTACTGTTTCTTTGTATAATGTTCCGCACTAGATTGAGGAAATTGCAAAACATGATCCTTTCCCTGGGATATACGATGACACATTTCCTTGCGATTAGTGTCACAGTGGCCTTTCCAATTTCGTAAAAGGAAGTAACGGAGTCAACTTCATACGTTTTTCGTTTGGCTGGTGTAGCATTTATTCACAATTGTGCTTAGCAATTTGACAGTAAATAGATCCAGTTAAGTTTATATGGCAAATAAAATCTGTGGGTATATGCAGGAGTAGTCAAGAGCACGAGGTATTGAATGAAGATGGTTATGGCGTTTGTTTTTATAGAAGTGGTGAGAGGATAGAGGGTTATGACGTGGCGCAAGAAGGGCGAATATCGCCTAGTGGGCCATATCTTGTGGATCTGGCGCGGTGCTCTCATGTCCCATATATTTTAAGAGTTTTCCCTTTGTACTTCAGGTAGTCATTCAGAAAGGAATATGGAGGATCCGCTCAACTGAATGGCATAGAAAAAACAACGAAAAAAGTACGTCTTTTACTTTTTTTACGTTACGTATTTTTTATTCATATAACTTCGTCAGCATTGATTGAACGGTTGATTTTGTAGAAGGAAACACCAAGAAGAGACTCCCGCGGTTGAAGATCGGATTGTATCTCCTGTACAACGTAAACAGGTCCGTCATTTCGTCTTTTTTCCTTTTTTGAGGGAATATTATTGTGAAATATAGTGTATTATATTTTCTGCCTTTCATGCAACACTCCGTTCTCTATAAAATGTAGGAAAGTCGCAAGTTTCCAAAAACCATGACCAAATGCAATTTTCCACAAAAGCGTCTTCATTACTTCCATCAATTTGCAAGAGTTTGCGAGAGGATTTCATGGTTAGTAATAATATCTTCTAGAAATGCAAGTGTTTGGTCAAACATTTGAGGCAGTATTAAATACTGAACTTCACTAAGTCGGCTTGCCCATTAGTAGTGAGGAATGTACATCGCCGCTACGAAGAGACGTTGGAATTTGCTGAGTATACTCTACAGTTTTCGTCTTGAGAAATGAGCTTAGTACTGCTTACAATTTTTGTTGAAGAAGGCTCTAAACGGAGGCTGCATGTAACCTTGTCAAAACTTTCACTTTCTATTCGCAAGCTCTTCACACAGGCGCTTGTAAGCATTAGTGTATTAATGATGTCAAAAGCCTTGTTAGCTAATTTGACGAAAAAAGCAAACGGACACATTTAACGGAGTCAATCCAACGACTTCTTGCCTGTAAGCTGGGATCACCACCAGTGCGTTTGCTGCCTTACAGCTAAGTTGGCAAAATCGTTTATAAGGTTTGGAGAACAGTGTGAGATTAGCATCACAAGATGAAAGTCGCACCCACATTCGAAAGTGAGGACTGACCTGTTAACCTCCCTGGAAAGGAAGGAAGGAATTTGTTATTTCCATGGGACCTTCTTGAACTGTTCCTTGGTGTAAAGCTGCTTGGACAACTCTCAGCTACTACTGCCACATAAGCTTAGAATAGATGCTGCGCTCAAACTATGACCGCAGCAAATCTGGCCGAAGCGGCAGGTTACCGGGAATGTTGCATTCGTGCAACTGTAACTATCGCCGTTTGATATGTGGGCAAGATAATAAACTCACTCAAAACGGATGCAATAAACATAGTTGTGTAATCTCTCTTCGAACACCACACAGACACATTGTATGAAGAGCATTTCAAGAAATTGAAAAACATCTGTCTTCTTCTCTTTTGGTCTTTTGAACAACCAACGCACACGCTCCGATGGAATGTGTGGATATTCCAAGTCTTCCATTAGTTGCAGGCTTCCGGTTGGCTTTCATCGTTATCCTGGGGCCGTATATTTCGGTGGAAACAAAATTTGAAGAAATTCTTCCTGAGAGGGTTCTCGGTTATTTCCATCAAACTAAAAAAATGGAGTGCTTTTTCTTCCTACCCTTGGGAGTAGAATAGCATACGGCCGTGTATACACAAAGTGGTCATTTAGAAGAAACTTTGCAAAACTCGTGAAGATAATCATTTTTGCTCTCTTGTATTTAGGCAATTTTTGTTGTTACTATTTATTTTTATTATCCATTTCTCCTATTTCATGGGATTCTTCTCAGTGCGATTATTGCACAGAAGCTTTGGATGTAGTGAAACTTATTTTCATGTTTGTTTTTTGTTCGTTTTTAGTCTTACCTTAACTACAGGGTGCCTACTAAATATTGGCGCATGGTTTATGGACCATATTTTTGAAAAGAGAAGCTATTAAATTCTCAGACGATTATTCTTATATACTTGAAATTTCTCAGAAGCTTATTCTTATATACAGTAGGAGAAGCAATACACTCACTGAAGAAGATGCCCGAAATGGTCTTCCTCGGGAGCGTGCAGGTTCAGGCCACTTCTTGAGCAGATATACCGTAGGCCGCCAGACCTTGATGTGGAGTTCCTTATCACTTCTTTTCCGAGGGACGATCCTTTCAAATTCCAAGGAAAGTTTAACTTCGATGTTTGCTCGAAAAATATTCTTCTGCTGCCAAGAAGCCCTTACCGGCAAAATCCAGTGGGGTTTGAAATCGGGGGGTTTAACTTTGACTACTGGTGGAGATGTGTCCCATTTCTAGTAAAAGACACTACCACCAATTTCAGGAAATATTGAGGCCGAGGAGCGCCCATTTGATGCGCTAAATTGTGCCCACATTATAGAAGCCTCTAATTCTTACGTATTGACAGGTTACATACGGTCAGAAGCATAAGCGAGTCGTCCTGGTAAGTTAATCTTTGACTACTGCGTTGTATACATGTTGTACCACTTCGTAGTCAAGTCACTACCCACATTTTGGCACTGTATGGGAATCGCAAGAAGGCCCGTTTTATGGCGGAAATTGTGCACAACTAGGAAACTGGTAATTTCTTACTCTGTCAGCGAAGGTATGAAGACTAAGCGAGTTAACGCTGGATTATGTGCATAAGCAGAGTCGTTCCACAGAGCACTGGGCACGATGCAAGCTTCCGAAAAGTAGTTTTCGAGTCTCACACTTCTCGTTGTGTTAATGGCTCCAATATTTCCTCAATTATTGTGAAACTGGTGAAACATAAACCAAACCGATGACGGATGGAGGTTTTATCGGGCGCAAGCCAGTATACAGACGAGGGGTTTACGACTGGCTGTGGAAATACAGAACCTCCGGATTTTGTCAGGTTTCTTTGGTGCGGAAGGGTAGTAGAACACTCCAATGGTGGCGGCACTTTCAAGCATTAAAAAACCAGGCGAATTGGTTAGAGGAAAGCAGCCGGTGGGCGCAGCCTGTAGCCCAGGCGAGCACACTGTCTACAATGTTTGCGGCTTGCAATTCTTTTCAAGTGTGTTTCCGATCGGACGTGCCTTGTTCACGAATGAGTAAATGATAAATGTGTATTTGTGAGTGGTTTTGTGACAACTGTCAACAATGCTCATTGGAGCGGAGAGTGGGTGGTGAGGGAGGGGCCACTGCCGCGCATTTATGGTCTCTGGGATCGAATCTCAGAAAACCCCAAACCCAGCGCGCCTTCAGGCCAACATTCTCTACACATGATTATGTTGTTGCTAGCGACGACTGTTACTACACAAAACACATTAATAAACTTGTTTTAAAAAAAAGTCGTAGTCTAAGGGATTAATACGGCCAAACATCTTGTGACCAGTTAACCTGGGAAAACGACGGTCTTCGAACTCCAGCTGGATCTGCCGACATATGTAGGCGCTCGGTCTTTCTGAAGAATGGAAAAGCCCTGCTTACGTCGGAAACAGTCTAGGGCGAGCACATCACGTAAACAAGTTTCCTGGTAGATTGGCCGTTGATTTGGACGGATTTCATCAATGAGACGAGCGGATGTCTTGGTTGCAGAAGTTGATCCTGCCATGGCAAAATTTTTGAGAAGCGGCCTTTAGTTGACACAAAAACATCGAAGCAGAATGTCTGCTGGCGGATTTACAATTGGTGCCTGTCGTTTTTGAGTATTGTGCGCCTACTTCAGATGTTGTGAAGATTTTCCGCGTATGTACGTCAGTTTCTGGAGCGGCCACGTGCGTGTCAGTGAGGAGATATTTTGAAGCCTGTGTCGCTTTTCGAAGGAGGCATTTCAAATACTTTCTTCAGGTAATGCATTGCTTATGCCTTATTGTATTAGTTTGTCTCATAAATAGTGTCGCTCTTTTTCACCGGAAACTTTTCATCTAATCCCCATTGCGTCCACGTGCGCTGTCATATACATTTCGAAAAAGATTGTCTGCTTTACAAAAGATGGTATCGTTCTCTCTGCCAATTCTAATCCAGGCGTTTTTCAAATTTTAGTACCTGCGAAATGGGGGGGTCCAGCCGACAAAAATTGACCAAACCGACAACTATCTCTAACTTTATCTTCCCTTGGGAGAAATCAATCAATGATGTACCTTCTAATTACACATGACCTCTTCTGAACACTACACTATTAGGTTTCCCAACAAGTGGCGCCGTTCCATTTCCAGACCTGGTTTTTCAACCAGAACTCGACGGTCGAGCACCATCACCTAGGATCTAGGTCGAAATTTTTTCATTGCCGAGACATTGAAAAACTAGTAGAATTTGAAGAGCAAGTCATGAATAAGTTGGGAATGTTTGCCCGGTTGACTTTCTCATTTTCTCGGGGATATTTTTTTTCAAAGAAATGCGGTCACTTTCGTGTATAAAACACCTTATTCCTGAACGCCTAAAATTCAAACTAATTCCTAACCAATGTAAAAACAAATCAAGTGAGCGAATAGAGCAGAAGAAGTGCTCACAAAAAGAACACCACTCGATATGAAACAATGGCGTTTACGAGGAACAATTTTGATTTGAAAACTGCTATGCCTTATCGGTCAGCCAATTCGAAAAGAAACACGGCAAAGCTTTTTCGGAAACCTAAGAGTGGAATGTTCAGAAGAGGTCATGGGTAAGTAGGTGGTACATCAGTGATTGATTTCTGTCAACAGAAGCTAAAATTAAAGCTAGTTGTCGGTTTGGTCAAATTTTGTCGGCTGGACCTTCCATTTCGCAGGCCTAAAACTTGAAAACCTTGGAGCAGAGGTGGAAGCGGAACATATAATCTTGTAGAGCAGACAATTCTCTTTCGAATGGTATATGACTCGATGTGGAAGCATGGGGATTTAGATGAAAATTTTCAGTTGAAAAAAAGCGACATAATTTATGAGACAACCTAATATATAAATAAACTCCTGAAGATGTAATAGTCTCTCTTCGTAAAAATATGGTCAGTAAACCATGCGCCAATATTCAGTAGCCAGCTTGTAGTTTTCAAAATGGTTTCAAAGCGTATTTTATTTCCAGAAACGGCAGCGACAGCACTCAAGTCCAAAAAAAGATGCGAAGGAGTCCTCTTCTGCGACCAGCTTAGAGTCGACTGCACCAAATAATGCGGAAGGGCCCAGTGGTGAAAGTAAGCTCACACCGGTCGAACTGAAGAAGGCGCGTCAAGAGCATTTTAATAATAGGTGGGTGCTTTGGTGCTATTGTTTTGTTCCATTGAGTAATTCTTTTTCGGCATGTTTTTCTTCGATGGAAACATATGTGATGTGTCTTTGTTTATATGGCCACTCCACTGCAATAGTGTACTTTCGTTTAGGTACTGCTACGGAAATTTCGATCGTCTATTATGGTGCGCGGTTAGAACCTGGCCAAAAATGTTTGAAGACAAAGATTGGATATTGAGTGGTCGGATAAGAGAATATTATTGCAGCCTAGCGGCTTCAGAAGACATCCTGTATGAGTTAAGGTGCTTATAGGGCTGCCAACGTGGGATTCTTAACGTTATCACGAACACAATGCACACTCACTCGGGGATCTCCCAGCCCAGAAAGGGTTCTGGGCGCACTTGCCACATCGTATGCGAACGCAATACTTCGTCGACGAATATTTTGCTGCGAGACACCATTGATGAACAGATTCATCAGCGCTTGTGTATCCCAAGAAGCGAGAGCTGCTCCGCTCTGTCGATACGTTGAGCAATATGTCAACAGTGTACCTACTTGTAGGTGAAGGCCTAAATTCGAAACGATTCAACGACTTTGTTGGAAAGTTCCCTGCGTCTTTCTGCACCAACTTTGGTCCTATCTCCAACCACACCTTGTCTTTCTCCACCAAATTTCCGGATAACGTTTGGTTCCGGCGGGAAAACTATGTTCTGGAGAGTGATGAACTTTTAGAAACGGTATGTATTGATTAACTCATTGCTATTGTTTTTACAAAGTTAAAGGAGTAATATTTTGGGTTTTCCAGGTGGAAGAGGAGTTTGATGTGATTCTAGCATTAAGCATTACAAAATGGATACATTTGAATTTCGGCGATGACGGCCTCCGACGTTTTTTCCGTCGTGCCTTCAATCAACTGCTCCCGGGCGGTAGATTCATTCTTGAGCCGCAGCCGTTCGCCAGCTATAGGAAGAGAGCGAAGATGACGGTTTGTCTTGTATGGATTTGCCGAAGTTCTCCTCTGCACAATACTTTTTTTTTTTCAGGAAAAGCTGAAGGCCACCTATGCAGCTATAGAATTTAAACCGGAAGATTTCGAGATGTATCTCATTGAAGAGGTCGGGTTTGAAAGTGTTGAACATCTCGGTGCTCCCTGCGCGAAAACAAAAGGTACGCTGTTGTGAATGAAGAGTGGTTTATTTGTTCAAGAAAATTTAGCTAACTTTCAGGGTTTGAACGTCCAATTGATGTTTATTTAAAAAAGCCACCACGTTTCCTGGAACGCGCGGTCAAGAATGGGGAATGAAAAAAATTTGTCGCCTGTTCATTATTTCAGTTCCTTTTTTGACATGATCCATATGATTATGAAAAGAAAGATAATGTCGTCGTGTTTTGTGAATTGATTTAATCAGGTGAGAATTCAAATGGGTGACACTTTTGCCCTGTGTTCAGTGTTGTGATCTTTAATAATCATCGAACATACTTGGTTTATTCTTTTCTATTTATGAATGTTTTGGTTTGCCATGTACCTGACTTAGACCCACCAGCTCTGGATCTAATAACCTTTGTTTTTTTTTACATTCACTGTTAAAACTAGTTACACCGTTGGTTTGTATTGTTAGTGTTTCAGTTTTTGTTGTTCTAAGTTTTTAATTTCCTGCCGATAAAGAAATTTGCGCCTACTTTTTTTGTGCTGCTCAGGCTTCCGTTTTCGGTTTTTATTTGGATTTTTGGCACTTGTTAGTATGGCTCTTTATTGTTTCCTCGTGGACCTCAGTTTTTTTGTGACATTTTCAGTGTATTTTTGTTTTCCTTCTAGGATGTCGAGGACCATTACGAAAATTCCAAGAATCATGGCGAAGTCGTGAGGACTCCAAGGACTGGCGATGCTTCATCCGCGTATGTCTTTTTTGTTGAAAAATTTTTCTCACTCTCGCTTTCTCCCTCCTCTTGTTCTTAGGTTGTGTTCAGAGCAAGGGAGAAGGTGACGTAGTGAGGATGTTTCATAGAACGGGTGACTCGTACGACGAACAAGAGCAACTTATGGTAAGATGATGCATCGTAGTAGGGCTTGCAACGCAAACGGACGTTTTGTCGATGAGCTGAGTTCAGGGGATTCCTTGTTATAGTCTGGTCTTCAGTGTTGTCCAGAGTACAGTTATTTATTCCGTTTTCTCTGTTTTGAGTCATTAGAATGTTCCATTAAGTGTGAACCGTATGGCCTAAGGTCGCCTTATTTAGATGGTAACTTTGAGATACCGGTTGTTTATAATATCAGTACCGCTGTACAATTGTATTAATTCTGTTCTCATTTAGTAGAAGACTAAGCGCTCTTGTTGAAGACGCTCACAGTCTCAAGGCATTGGATTGAACCGGCTCCTGGGTTAGTCAGTGCTTCTGCTCTTGCAGAAATGTAAGCACTGGCCAGAGTGAATTATTTTCCCGGAATTTCTTTCCAATACGACTACTTTTCCCATGAATATCACTGACCTCTACCTCTCGTCTACCTAGATTATTGATAGTGTCCGTGGTGTCTTGGAGCTTTGACTACATGGCTCACCCGGGTAGAGAGGGGGTTGATTTGTATGTGATTTGAAAGATATATTCATTTTCACGCTATATCCGGGTCTGCATTCTTTATTTTCCTCACTTTCCCCAAATTCAACCGATGACAAATGCGTTCCTGAAAGGCTCACACTCTTTCTGTCAATAAAACAGGTGCGACCTGAAAAAAAAACTCAACCATGGCTTACCAACCGACCAAAGCGTGAAACCGACTCTTCGCCAAGTCGACTATACGGAATCAGATTACAGAGTCGAGGATCGCGTAATGGCTGCTACAAATAAACTTCTTCAAATGAGTGTGTCCCAAAAGTCCGCGTCCATTTCTGATACTTTTAATTAACATTATCACGCAAAAGTAATATTCAGTAACATTATGAACCAACACTATCCGTTGGCAGCGATTCACTGAAGATTCGATGCCATGTTTCCAAATGTGGCGCTTTCGAGCTGAAAAAGGTAGAGGTCGATCTCGAGGTGCTTGACTGAACTATATTTTTATGCCAATTGACTGCTGATCAGCAATAGCGGAATGCAGCAGGGAGTTGGCTGGAGTTCTGCAGGGTGAATTCGGTAGGACTCCCCAAGGAGTTTCTGGATCTTATGTCAACCGTGAGGCTAGGCAGTTCAGCGTTTTGTAGAGCTATGGGAGCATCGCACATGCACGCTATTACAGTATTTCTGCTTTCTTTATTCCCTATAAAAGGCTTAGTCTTGATACCCGAAGGCGCATACTTTTCCATCTACACCCTTGGTTGATAGATGTGTCATGACGCAGCATTTTCCTAGAAAGTGGTTTGAGAGGTATCCCACTTATCGAGCTGGTTTTGTGACTTTGAATAAAGATTTTATCTGCAGGTGCCGAGCTCAGTAGTCCTTTCGTACCCACGTACAAAAAGGATTGTAATTGAGAGCGCAAGTGACAATTCCGACGATTACGAGCCGTATGTGCCGACAACATTACCAGGTGTGTTCCTCGATGCTTTTGCTAGTATTCTAACACTTATATTGTATAGTGTGCCGAATATGATCGCACTGTTTTCGTATCGCATGACGTAATGTCCCTACTTTTTGGTCACTTTCTTTATTGGGAGAAATCTAATGTTTCGTAGGTTTAAGTGAAACGGTTTCTGATAGAATGCTGAGATACAAGGAATCAGTTCTAACGTTTATGAATTTTCTGCATTTCGTACGTGATAATGGTTCTTTATTGAATGTTTTAAGCTAAAATTGTAATTTACATTTTACAGTGTAGCTGATGAAGTTCGAGTCGTACCCTTGTCCTCTTTGTCCAGGACAGAGTTTTTCTGACATTCTTCGGATTAGAGCGACACTCTTTCGGAAAAACACCAGAACATCTGCAGGAAGTTTGTTGATTCATTGAATCTAATGTTCAAACTTCGGCTTTTACTATCTTTTCACCTTAATTCGTCATAGTTGGTTATTTACACTACCGTGAGCTCTTGTAGGGTGGCATTTCATTATAGGTTTCCGTGGGTTTCGTAAATTCTAGATTCACACTCTAAAACGCTAGGTGTGGCCTTAATTTTTTATTTTTATGTCTGCACAACCAGAGCCACTGAGAAAACTTTGACGTGCAATACGGCCTGAGATGCCTACATCTAGTTATGGCATTATTGGGATATGTTGATGTTTTACTTCCACGGTCTTTCGATATGGACTAGGTCGCTCTCAGTAGGGTGGAGGTTTCAGACTTTTATCAACAAAAATAAACTGGCGCAGCCAATGTTCAGCTAATCCTACCAGCCATGAGCGCCCTAGTTTAGAAAAATTCATGAAATAGCGGGACTAGAATAGTGACACATCAAATGGGATGACATCTGTGGATCCATGCTAGGAAAGGGTTGATTCGATGGGTCTTTTATCGAATTTGCAAGTTTTTTTTTAGGGAGTGGCGTTGGAAAGCAAATGCGAGTTAATTCCTGCGCTGCGCAGGGTACCATGTAAGAAAGGTTGCAGTCGTAAAAGTGTGCGACTTCGCGACCTTTATATCATTAAGAACTAGAAATGGGAAAGTTCCCTTGACTACCACGGGTATTGTTGCGCTTATCTTAAACACTAGCTTTTTGTGCATTGTTATCGTTATAGCGGCAATCGCCTACTCTTGCCCTCCTTAGAAAAATGTCATGGTTTCGCGAAGGGGTGTAGCGTAATATTAGCACATCGATGACACCTGACGCGCATGCGACGTCAGATTTTTACGCCGGAGCAGGTGTTGTTGTATTCCATTTTCTTGAGCACTTTTCGTATTCACTGTCTGTGTACAGTCGTAAAGCTCGTGCCAACCAATTTCAGTAGTGTAATTATTGAAGGATATGAGGTTGTGGAAAAATAAGGCTACAGAAAATACGAGTTTACCGCAAACGGGCCGTCGTCAATGTGTTAAGTCCATATGCCATTCTCCTTGCTCTGTCATATCTCATTTCATTTGTCGATATTTCTGTTTTCTTTTCTCTATTCCAGCAATTCTTTGCACTTAGCGGATCTAGTTGAGTACATTGTTTTGTTAGATTCTCGACCATATCGAGACGATCAGTGCGGAGTGGCGAAGACGCGAAGAGGAACTAGCAAGACGAAGAGATCGTATGTATTCGTCTCGTATAAGGCAGGAGAACATAGCTCGTCACGCTATTGAACAAGTTGCCAATGGAACATTAGGACCGTTTTCTGGTAAATATACTTTTCTTTGGCCAGCACTTGGCGTCTTGTCTTTGTTGTTCAAAGTTAATGGTCATAATTAGAGTGACGCAGAGCTTGAGCGCGCACCCATAGAAGTATAATATACAGTGCGTTTCATAATTATAAGCTCCCCCTCGATTTTTGCAGTTCTCAAGCAAGCAGCTAAGATGAAATTATTTGGCAAATATCTGCAGTTCCTCATCTCAAATAACCTTCGTATTCGAATTTGGGTTGCAATACCGTTCACCTCAACTTTTTATAAAATTTTTTAAGTAGGTATTGGTTTTCGCACCGTTTCATAATTATAAGCACCCCCTGGGAACATGAACAATTTATTAATGTAAATGGCATATGTACAACAGTTAATAATCGATGGCTCCTCCTTGTCTGAGCGCAACATCGAAGAGTCTACGAGGCATACTAGAAACTAGGTTTCGAAGCAGTTCTTCATCAATTGCTTTCCAGGCTTCGACGATCGTCTTTTTCAGCTCTTCCGTCCTCTGGAACTGACGATTGTTCGCGTCCTTTCTGACTATGATGTCCCAGATGTTCTCCATCGGATTGAGATCAGGACTGCAGGCTGGCCATGACAGAACGCTGATGTTTTGGGATCGCAGCCATTCATTTGTTGAACGACTT